AGAACTTGCATCGACCCATATTGCATAAGCGTGTCTGCTTGTGCACCACTTACTGTGTGCAGGGTCATTCTGGCATATTCTTTCCGCTATGTCATCAATCATGTTCTTAAGGGAAGCATCTGTCACTTCGTCATCCCAACCAGACGTGATCGATACTGTCCTGCGTTTTACAAATGATGCAGCAACACGAAGCCACCCACCCAAACACAGGAACATGACCCACCAGTTTTCCACACCATGAGAAGACGTTACATCGTGTCAGGACCTCAGGAACTGATAGAATGCCATTTTCATGTGTCCACTTAAACGTGTTGTTATCTTCCGCGACATGCAAACCCAGCACACGTGTGCCATCCCATAACCACTCCAGATCCTTGCAGGTCAAACCAAACGCAGCCAAGGGCTCTTTCACGCGAGCTGCTGAAATCATAAATGTCATCAATATATGATGAGTTTGCCCGTTGCATGGACTCGTCTTTCGCCAACGCGGCGTCCACAATGGCCTTCATTATGGCTGGTGCAACATTCAACCCGAAACCCATTCTAGTCGAGCAATATCTTCGCCCCTTGAATATTACAGTTTGAAAGGGCCAAAGTGACTTTTGGATATGTACTTATAAATAGGCCTGACATAGGTCAAGGATAGCAACATCCGGTCCTTTTTTATGCCACTCCCTCAGTTTCTGTGCGCAAACATCAGCATTGGCTGTGCATGCGTTGAGGCACTCATTCAGTTCTCGATAGTTTAATACTGGCCGCACTTTTTTGTTTTTCTGCACCACCACCATCAATGGAATTAAGCCTTTTGGAGGACCGAGTTCCTTTTCAGGATAAGGCTGCAACCAACCGTTATCAAGCCATGTCTGCAGCTCATGGTCATATTCCTTCTTGACTCCCGTTGGTATTGGGTACTCAGGCATCAGATTTCTCAAACTCTCTGGTGATTGACCATCAAACCACTTCCATGATGCGACCCATATCTTCCAGTTTGGGTCGAATTCGGCGCAGAAATCAGGTTCTTCTATTTTAATAGCGGTGTAACAGACTATCCCCTGCTTGGGAAACCATACATCGCCACACTGTGTTATTTGGAGTCCGCCCAACCTTTTAATGGCGTTGAATCCAAGCAACAAGTCAAAACCCAGTAGCTCTCCATCCACTACCAAGACATCGATTTTGAGGGGGTTTCCGTTGTCCAGCGTCAAGCTTAATACTTCCAACTCCGCAACATTTGAGTGTATTCCCGTTTACGGTGAGTACGTTCACCTCCGTCACTCGCCAAGATTGACAGGCTGACTTACTCATGAGTGTCTGTGAGCAGCCAGTGTCCACCAGTGCCACTCTCTTAATTCCGTTCATATAAATACCCAAGACAGGTAATGCTTTATTCATAACTCGCTTATGGAAGAGACCAGCACTGACGTCTTGTCCCCTTCTTTTCTCTGGACACAATTAAGAAATGTGGCCTACTTCTTGACACCAGAAGCAACGTATTGTTGTGCGTGACCCGCGTGGCTGACGGCCATCTTCGCGTTGAACCGGGCAGTCCCTGGCAAGTTGATTCCACCCAGAGCATTGATAACATCGCATGCTCTCCCGACGTTTAACATTTGGATGTTTATCAGCTCCGCCTGGTGAAATGGTAGCCGCAACCATTTCCTCAGTTGCAATTTGATCTTTCATTATGGCCTGAGCTAGGTCCAACAGTTGGTTTGTATTCATGTCTTCCATCCTGGAAGATGCACACAGTAGTTGCTTGACGTGTGCTGGTAACCCTGCTATGAACCCACATGTTAATCCTTGCTCCGATATCCCACCAAATAAACCAGCTAGCTTCTTCATGTCGGCTAGAAACATGTTGACAGACTCATCTGGGTGCAGTGGCCGTTCCATAAATTGCTTGTAAGCCAAGAAACAATTCGGTGCAATCTTCAGGGCTCATTTTATCTGCTCGACATCTGATTTTTGTTCCGAGTTTAACTGCTCCGCCCGTCAATCTCAAAGAACACGTTCAACCTTTTTAATTCCACACAGGTCACAAATAAGTTCTGCCTTCTAAATCCATTCAGTAACTGCTTGTCCGGTCACTGAACCATCAAACTCTGGTATCAACTTGACGTCAAATGTCTTGATGTCATAGTGCCGAAATAGCTTGTAAGGATCTGGGATTGCAAAGGAAATGTTTGTCGCAGATTATTTCCACGTCACAGAGAATAAATCACTAAGTTCAGATTCTAACATTGGGGACAGAAAGAAAATGCTGAAAACTCGATTCGCAAGTACTATTTCACAAATCACAATGCACGCAACCAGTCAGAAAAATAACTCCTTCGCCAACCAACGTGGCAGCCAAAATTGCTGACTTTTTTCCCCCAATTCGAGAACACCGGATGCTTTTATCGGCCAAACATTTTTTTTTCCATTCGTCGACAGCTGGGAGAGGATGTTCAGTAATTTGCATATCAACATACTTTTATAGCGACTCCTGCGACGGATTTGTTTTTTAATTCAAATATTCCATTTTCAGCATGTCATGTGGAATACATGCCCTTTTGTTTGGTAAGTAATTTTCTTTTTCGCCACATTTTCCGTCGTAGAATACATGCAACGCACTGTCACTCAGTTTGACGAGGTAAGTCACTGTTTTCTTCGCTATAAGAACTAAAATAACATTTTGCCTGTCAAGATTAGGAGAAAGTTCTTTTTGAGGTCAATTTATAACAATACTTAAAAATTGACTGAGATTCCTGAGCATGAAGTTTCTGTAAAGTAAAAAATAGGGCTCTTTGGATACTATGTAATTCATGATTTCGTATATGACATAATTTTGGGAACAGCATGCATTTACTTGCATCTTTTTGATCAAGCCAATTGTTTCTAATGCATTTTAATATATGGACTGAATCAAATGGGAAGACAAGAGGTTTAGACTTCATAACTGGGTGTGAATATATAATTGATATCTTTGAACTACAAAAAAAAAATAAAGCTTTTTTTTATTTATAGCATCATTATCTGTTATGATTGATAATACTTGAAAGTCTCCTCTAAACCAATTATTATACATTTAACTATGTCAAATCAATTCTCAGCATAAATGGACAATATCGTTATATTGTGAGAATACAGTGCTAAGCATAAAAGCAAAAACACTTGTTGCAGCTTCATTGCTCTTGTCATATAAGCCAACAATACCACCCTTATAATCAAAATAAGGTTTTAGGTGAATTTCATCAAGTAAAGATACTGTGGTGCCTCTCTGTACTAGTAACTTAAATTTATTTTTATTATACATAAGAAAATTATGTTGTTCAATCAAAGGATTCATATATGTTGATAAGGTTAATCTTTTAATGGTTGAATAGTTAGATAAAATTATACTTATGCTGTCTCTTACCCTTCAGAGGAGCAGTTATACAACAATGAAGAAAATATCATTTCTGATGAATAATCATACTTCTACATCATTAATATTATGGAATTTATTCTGCTGTTTGTATGCTAAGGCATCAGTAATACTTTGATTTAAAGCATTTTCAAGGGTAGAATTCTCCAGTTGAATTCTCTTAGAATCTGGTGACTCTCGAGAGGTGGTCATTGAAGAACAATATGAGGGGCAGTTTGGCAGAATTCTAGGAATAGCACCATCATGAAGATGTGTTTTCTGAAGTTGAACAGCAATTGTGGCTCCTGTTTTTTCATCAAAGGCTGATGATTCACTCCTTATGTCTTCAGGTAAAAATTGTAGTTCACATATTTAAAAAGATTTTAAAACCAAATTTATTTAAAAAAAAAAAAAAAAAATCTAAGATAGCAAAATCTTAATGAAGTTTTCTGACATTTTTAAGAAGCATAATTTATTAATTCAGTAAAAAAAAATGAGTGAGTAAGCTATTAAAATATTTTTGCAATTTGAAACAGAATATTAGCTGCATTCTTAAGATGAATAAGTGCCCTGATATTTTTAAGGAACATAATTTAACATTAATTCAATAAAAAGAATATTAGCTGAATTCTTAAAATGAATAAAATTACAAAGCTATATAAAAATTAACAGAATTTTTAATGGTTACACATTTTTAAAATTTTTTTTTTTTTTTTTTTTTTTTGAGAATACAATTCTAAAAAATTGTTAGAATTATTTTTTTTATATCAATAGAAATCTTCCTTTATGAATTTATATCAACAATTTATAGTTTATTTAGAAAAGATGAGGTTTTTAGCTTTTAAAAGTTTAAGTTAAATTTACTTGCTTTTTAATACAAAAAATACTCACCCTACTAAATTTATTAGGTGTAAAATCCATTCTTTTGATTAAATGCGTTTATAAAACGGAACTGGCCCTCTCTTTTGTTGATCTCAGCTTAGTTCCATTATATTATGAATAAATAAATTATTTACTGGTATTTTTTTTTCTTTTAACCTAAATGTTTTCCTCTGCTTTTCTACCATTTCTTTTTGTGGGATTTACTTTAATTTCCAGCTCAAATATCAGATAATGTTTTATCTTTTGGAAAAGAAAACACATGGATTTTTTATCCATTTTTGTAATTTCCTTTGCAATGAGGTACAACTCATTTATAAGACATTGCTTCTTTCTTTTTTTTTATAAATTGATTCAATATTTAAAAGAAAAACAAATAGATAAATAATACAAAACGTGTGTAAGTTTGGTTATTAACAACAACCACCATTCTTCTAAGAAGCAAGTAAGGACTCAAGACAGTGACGTCACATTTCTCTCCTTCCACAGAACTAGCCCTCTCTTTTGTTGGTCTCAGCTTAGTTCCATTATAATATGAATAAATAATTTACTGGCATTTTTTCTTTTAATCTAAATGTTTTCCTCTGTTTTTCTACCATTTCTTTTTATGGGATTTACTTTAATTTCAAGTCTAATTTCATTCCTATACTGCAAATTCATCAGGTGTTTCTAATAATTCCTAACTTTTATTGAAATACTTTTTGTTTCTTTTAATATATTCACTTTCTGCTTTCAGAATGATGTTGAATCTATTTGGTACCTCCTGTTTCCTTTGTTGCTTGTAATATTCTTCACATTGATTGTTGATTATTATGTCACTGCCATTGTGAATAATCACCTCCAACCTGTACAGACTGCTGCTTATGGTTCCTATGCCATTTTCCTGTCGGCCCTCATACTTAGTATCAGTTGGAACCATCCATATATGGCACGCATCACCACCATGAATAAATTAACAGAAATTATTACAGAGGATCACATTCTTTCCGCTGGGGTTCTCTTCAGTTTGTCTGCTTACTTAATAGGTAAATGTATTTTTGTTATGCTTCTTTCAATTAAACTGACAACATGAAAAGATGTTTTCTGTAAAGTAATTTATTTCTTTTTTTTTTTTTGCTGTGTTTCTTAATATCTTGGATTTTACTCCAATAACTATCAAAATTTATAAATATTTTTGAATATCTTTTTGTTTTTAATTAATTTCAATTTATTAAATAAGTAAATCAATGCAACATACTCTAGGATCTCTCTTGTCCTTCTCTTAAATCACCTTCCTCTCTCGCAACCTTTCTCATATGAAACAAACAGGAAAAATTTCCCACTCCTATTTTCAATCGAGCTTTATAACTTTTCTTCCTTCCCATTATTCTTCATTTCCTGCAATATCTTTCTATTAAAGAAATTGCTGCCTGTCACTGCTTCTTCTCTTTCACCCCAACCACAAGGTAAGCCACACTCCATTTTCTCTTCTTTCATTCAAACTACAAGCCCCCATCATCCTAAAAGATCATTTCACACAACATAGTCTCATGCCCAAGTCAGCACTTTGCACTCTCTCTGCAGTCTTTGCGTTGGTGCTATTTCATTTCTGTCTCCTCCATATTCAGGATTTACATCATCATCCGCAAGGACAACTTGCCTTAAATCCAAAATCTGCTGCAGCATGGCATCAACAGTCAGGTGATTGCACTCAAGTCACCACCCCTCTCTCCCATTGTATTGTGCACCATCCTTTTGGTGGCTTCAACCAAACCTCCTCCCTTATTTGGATTCTGGCCAGCCCTTCCTCATCATTATTCAGAGATATATCTTTCAAGTGCCTCCACTCGTAGAAAATTGACCTTTGTGGTACTGTCTTTCTCTGTCCGAATTTAGACACCATGTTGTACCAAAACTTCAACAGGCAATATCTCTCAGCTATTGCTTTCACTGTCCAATGGTGTCACTCCACTATTTCATTTCCCACTGGCCTGTACACTGCTCTGTAGTACCTTCTTAACTTCCATTTTTGAAGCATTGTTTGGATGATTTCCAAGCAGAAAGCTGTGCCATTGTCCATCACCAACTCTGCTACTGGACCTCATTCAAGAATCACCTTCTCCAGTTCTTCTGCAACCACTGCTGCCATTTCTGCATGCAATTCCTTCCATATTTCCAGATGCCCAGGTCTGCAGTCAATTCTTGACAAGTACACACCCCCACAAAAAAGTGTTATATTGACAGCTAACCTCATCTAATTGTTTGTCGTTTCATTTTTACATGCAGCTCAACTTTTTGCACCAAATATAGTCTTGTCCACTCCTGTACGATGCATACTGTGCAACTCTTCTAGCTCTCTGGTCTCTAGACAGCACACTGGAGCCTCTTCCTCCTAATTGACCAACTACTTTTTCTTTACTCAAGTTAATGCATCCACCTTATTTCTTTCCAAAGGCACAAAAATTGCTTTTATTTGTAATCCAAGTTTGGATATCCAGTATTCCTAATTTCTCCAGCACCTTGTGTCTGCTTTCTCCTGCTCTCTTCTACAGTAGAGTTCACCCAACTTAGTCCTGTGGCTGAATCAGTCCTTATTTCTACCTCTCTTAACCCCCCCACTTTAAAGCCATATTAACACCTTTTAACACATCTAATTCAGCCCCATTGATGTGCTTATAGTTGTCCTTTTTTTCTCAGCCATGCTACATCTTCTGCCACCAAACTGCTGATCTCTATGATTACGCCTGTAGCAATACTGCTAACATCACACCACACTATTTTCATATTAGAAATATGCCAAATCCCAATCATTGGGTCCTCTTTCATTACATTAGATAAGATTTCCTGCATTATAGTGACGGTTTCATCATCGTCTTTACATTCCACTTGCTCTTCTTTTTATGTAGCTGCATGCCAGTCGCAACCATCCAGCAATGGGGTAGTGCCCCAACAGCTTTCCACAGACCTCCTGTCACCTGTGGAACCTCATTGCCCCTTCTGAACATCAGTTCACCAACTTTTCCTTTCTTCAGGTTAAGGTCTATGCCCATGCTGCCCCTCCTAAGTGTTCTGGTGGCTTTGCTGTTAATCAGAATTCCTTAATATTATCCACCACTTCCTCTGTTGATACCTTTTGTTACATCATGATGTCATCAATGTATGAATCAGTGGCTGCTTTTATCTTATTGCCCTTCATCAGCACAGTTTTTAGGGCTGCTGCCATAATTTTCAGTGCAGCATTGAGTCTGAACCCCTGCAAGTCAGGAAGCAAGTTTCCCCCATATAGCACACCAGCTGGTACTGCCATAGTTTCTCCACAACATGTAATTGCAGGTAGGACGACTTAAGGCCCACGATCATAGTTCTTCTTGCCAACTGTGTCCACTTTCTCATCTTTTCATCACACACATCGATTGTGTTGCTCCCAGTATGGCACTCTACATAATGGTTCAACTCCTGAAGGTCTAATACTGACGTGACTTTTCCTTTTGTAGCTTGGACTACTGCCATCAACAGTAACACTCCTTTTACTTCACCCTTCAACGGCAAGAGAATACCCTCCGTAACCCATCTTTCCACCTCCTTTTCTTACTTTTTCTTCTTTCAAGGAATTCTTGTAGTATTCCACTTTGTTTTTTCCAAACTTCACCTCGTCATTTTTTACAGACACACCTCCCAGCTTAGTGATCATGTCTATTCCGACAACAATGTTGATCTCATTGATGATGCGATCAACGATAATTGCCTCCATTTTTATCCTTGTTCCACCTACTTTTATCTCCACCTGCCAGGTTCCTTGACATTTTACCTCCCTTCCGTCAACTGCTTTCACAGTGCCACTCCCACTCCATCTGCTCACAAGTTTGGGATTAAGTAAAGTGTTTGTGCAGCCAGTATCAACAACAGCAGCTACTATCACACAACCCACTGACACATTTATGATTAGTAAAGGTCAGTACTGCACCTTTGTTCTGTTGACGGGGAAGCTACTGGCACAGAAGTTCCCCCTTGCTTGTTTCTCTGAGCCTGAAGGTAATACCTCGCAATATGCACCAATCTCTCACAATTGTAGCACATTACTTTAGAACTCAGTGGCTACTTAGTCTCTAATTAGGTGTGATCCCTGACATCTATAGCACCTAATGCTTGATGATTCCATGTGACCTTTTATTTTCTTTTGGTTCTGCACTTTGTGCAATCACTCTTCTGTTATGGGATCTTAAAGTCTTTTGCAGACCAAGGGCCTTGTGTCTAGTATCATTTTGCAGAGGTCCATTTTTTCTACACCGGGTACTTGTTGCGGAGCCACAGATACATCATGAAAGCTAGTTTTGCTGTTTGACCCAGTCCTCTCCATAGATATCCTGCTAGCCTTGCCAATCTTTTGATATTATTGGTGTAAACATCCACTAATTCCCCAGTTCATTTCCCTCTCAAGCTTTTCATAAGCCTCAAAGGATCCTTCAGTAAAGACTTTCTTCAGTCTGGTCTCTATCATGTCTTCGTCCAACTGGCCCTCATCACTCATTTCAAAGTAGAGGGCAAGTGTATCTCTTTGCAGAAAAAGTGTAAAAGAAACTAGTAAGGTCTGGCACTTTTTGAAGCTTGATAACCAATTTCACTTTCTTTATCTACATGACTAGAACACCTTCTCTGCTAAACAGTGGTATCACGTCTCTACCCAGTCTTACCATTTGAGACTCCATATCACTGAAATAGATTGTGGTTCAAAAAATAAAAAAATTTCTGCTAGGATCTCTCTCATCCTTCTCTTGAATCTCCTTCCTCTCTTGCAAGCTTTCTCATGCAAAACTAAGAAGAAAAAATCACCTACTTTTATCTTTGGTTGAGCTTCATACTTTTCTTCCTTCCCATAATAACTTTCAATAAAATCACCACCTGTCACTGCTTCTTCTCTGCCACCACGAGGTAAGCGACATGCCATTTTCTCATTCATTCAAACTACACATTGGAAACTCTGAAACTTTCTTGAAATGAATTTGAATCTTTGATATTTAATTTACTTTTGTTTCCATATTCAAAATCACACACCCACACATTTGATTATTTCATGTTTTTCAGACTATTATATTCTTTATTATTTTTCTTTTAATACAAAGTTTCAGATTATACTGTCTTTGGCTTGACTCTGGTCTCCATTTTATTCAGTTTTTGGAATTCACTTAATACTTTTTCTTTATCCTTTTTTTTTTTTTTGTTCATCCTCTCATCTAGAACATAAACATTAGAAGTTTTCAAAATGTTCCTCAAATCAATTCTGAGCAACGAATAATGCATTATCATTGGGGTATATCGAGTTCATAAATGAGTGAAAATGTCACAAAGTAGTATGATATAGTAGTCATTAGTCAATGACATGTCTAGGCAGACCAACTGTACCCAACCAGTGAACACACTCTACACTATTATGGGGACTATAACCAGTCTGCACAATGCTTTCATGACCATTGGAGTCCATACCTTATGCCATTCGCAACACACGTGAACCCTACCCTTAGCCTAAAATGTGTTGAAATGTGTCATGAAACAAAATAAAAAATTTTGTCTCTCTCTCTCTCTCCTGCTGTCATAGCGACAGGCACAGTCTCCACTTCTGAGACAAAAACTGCCCTCCTTCTCATTCCAGCCCTTTACATAGAGCTTGGTAACTTGCCTATGCAAAACACCAACAAGCTAGCTACCAATCACTGTTCCTGCACATGCCCACCTCCACTCGCTTTGGGGGTGTCAAGTTGACCAACCAACTCATTAGCTGGAATTATAACTCCTCAGACCACATTACATATTGTCAGGTATTCAGCGTTAAATTAGCCATCCATCAGGAATTTTCAGTACATGTGATGAGTTTCAATAAGGAAGTTGTGTGTGGTAACATAATAGTTATCAAGATGAAAAATAGAATCAGTGAACTAAATTTAAGTTTTATTTTTGCACAAATGCCTTTGGGAAAGGCGGGAATCCATTTTTTTTTTACGCCCATGCTATAGTCTAAATAGCAGGGTAAACTGGGCTCTCTGTCTGAATTGCAGTCAGCCAAGAGGAGAATGACTCCAAATTTGAAATTATGGAGAAGGCAAATAACTAAGAAAACTAATCTGTAGAGAGCTGTGATAAGCTACATGAAAGGACATGGTATAAAAAATAAAAATATAAAAAGACTGTTTCTCTATCCACCCAATTTCTATTTTTGCATTTTATGCATTCCCAAATTTGCTTGCATAAAGAAATGGTTACACTGGAGTGCTTGTTTGTTTTTTACAGCTACTTTTATCCTGGTGTCACCAAGTCGAGGCTCAAAAGTGAATTTCATTGGCTATTCTCCTGCTGGTCTACCATTATATAGCATTACAGGAGAAGCTCTTCACAAAACTTCAGTCTCAATTTTAGGATTGCTCAAAGGAGGATTGCGCCACATCCTTGAAGAATCAGATTCCAGAAAAATATTTTATTTTTTATGCATTAACATGGTATGGCAATTTTTTGTTTAGCATTTCTCTAGCCTGATTGCAATCTTTGGATTCTTTCCACTTTCTAACAATGCAACATAAAACATCAAAAGGGTTTCATAAATTAGTTTTTGTTATTTCAGTCTTGATTATTGTATTTGATGACATAAAATCCACTAGCCTACAAAACCATTCCCCTCATTTTAGCAAGAAATATTAAAAAGAATTTGCTATATATTGACTCTTAATAGAACTTCATTCTCATTTCCTATTTCGCCCAGTGCAAAACAAGTTGGGTTTTTTTTTATGCAAATTAAATATTTGCACCAACATTTGAGTTTTATGTGCCATTAAATGTGGTACCTAAAAGTACCTTTTATCTTTCCTAAGTTTTTCCATGTTAGTTGATGAAAGAAAATTTGTTTACAAACATTATTTGTAATCAAATTTTAGAATAAGTTAATTTAAAAAAATTCATTATAATAATGCTAATTATTAAAAGACAAATCATTTATCTCTACACATGCAAGGTATCATAGGTAGATCCACTTATTAAAGTGAAAGTAAACAACAAGTATAAAAATGAAGCTACCTTATCAGTTATAAGTGAAATATTAAAAAAAATCAATTATATTGATTTATAAGATGCAGATATTCATGGGAACCTATCAGCATGGTAGCAGTAGATATTAGTGAGAGAAGAGGTTGCTACCGATGTTGAGACTAAGTTTTTAATTAGCATTAAGTAGGAATTGGATGAATGAGTTTAGTATGGACATTTCAACTTTGTTGAAAGTGGATGACAGAGAAAAAGTTGAAGTTTGCTGATATATTTAAGAAAAAGTCAAGTTACCTCGGTCAGTTGCACAAACAACCAAAGTTCAGTGCTGATAATTTAAATGTATTTGCGCCAGTTCAAATTCAGAATGGTCAAAAGAACCAACATTGAATTATCAAAATACAAGGTTTTTTAACTGTTTCTTTCTCTTCACATGAGAAAAAAAATCATAAAATATCACAAAAATTGCAATTTAAGAAATTGAATGTAGCTTTTCATAATTTTATACTTTTCTATCCACAACTGATAACTTCAAATATCATGAAAAGAAAGTTGTGACTAAAAACTTGATTCTCTAAAACAATTTTGATGTGCATTTTGTGCTACTCTTTTTCAGACATTCACTTTTGTTGAATTGGTTTATGGTGTCTGGACTAACAGCCTGGGTCTCATCTCTGATGGCTTCCACATGTTGTTTGACTGCTCAGCCTTAGTCATGGGCTTGTATGCTGCTGTAATGACACGGTGGAAAGCAACACGAATCTTTTCTTTTGGGTTTGTTCAATTTGCATGCCTTTCATGGCTTATCAAATTAAAAAAAATTAAATAATTTAAATTCTAGATGAAGAATTATGTGATCAGATTTAGCTTTATAATCCCATTTGAAATTGGATCTCTTATTTATGAATATAAAAGTTGCAGACCTTTCCATAAGAAGGAAGAAAGAAATGAAATAGAAATATTAAGTTATTCTCTATAGTATCCACAGATAATTTAAGAATATCAGAGCCAAATAATAATTAATTGGGAAGATTGTAAAAACATTGCAATCATTCAAAACCTTTTTCTCAAAGACTAATCATTCCTACAAAGTTCTGGTATAACTGAAATGCATTGCAGAGTTTAATTTTGAGATAGCAAAATTGTAAAAAAAGCTTCTCTAAATTTGGAACTGCACTCACTTCATCAGTCACCCTACCATCAAAGACCTTCATTTAAAAGATAAGAATTTCTTATATAGAAAACAAAAAAAGCGATCAATTGTTACTTCCTCACCAAAAACAAAATCCTCCTTCAACTTTGAGATTTTTTTCCTTTCTTTACCAGATTTGATCGGGTTGAAGTGCTGTCAGGATTTGTGAATGGATTGTTTCTTATAATAATTGCCTTGTTTGTCTTTACGGAAGCCGTGGCTCGAATGTTTGAACCTCCAGAGATAAGAACAGAGAGATTGCTGGTGAGTTAAAAACAATTCCTTTTTCATTCTCAGCACTAAATAATGAAATGTTTGTTGCATTACTTTTATTATTATTCTCCCTGGATTTCAATGTCTTTCCTGGTAAAAATACAAAAATAGTAAAAACAAAAAATGACCAAAAAAAAAAAATTCCAAAATAATTATTTTCTTTAGATTGTGATTTCTTCTATTCTAAAATGTTTTCCTGTTAAGACATGTAATGTATTGATTCTGCTTGTTGCTAATGTTCAGTTCCTAAGGTATGTTCAATAAATTTTAGATATTTTTGTGTGTAAATAAGTGTATTTTGTTATTGTATTTGCAAAATGCCAGTTTGGTTTCTCTCAAAGAATGAACTTTGTTTTTTCTTCTTGAAATTCTCTTATAATTAATTTTGTTAGATGTAATCTTTCATCTGATGGTTTTCACTTAAACCACTCTAGTAACAAACAATTTACGTATTAATATTCTGTAAATTAAAATTGAATTTTTATTTCACAAAAATATGTAAGCTATTGATTTAGTTGCTCTTATTAATAAAAAAATGTTACCAAAACTAGTTATATTGATATCTTCTAATACCACCAGAATATTTGGGAATTTCAAGTTTATTCTTATTTAGAAGAAATATTTTTTGGCTTAACTTGAATTAAGGAGCTTCTTTTTCTTTGTAAATTTGGCTTGCAAACTTCTTAATTAAAACCAGTATTGAAGTTACAACAATATAGAGTTGAAATTAAGTGATGATTCCAAAAAATTTTCATTATGTAAAAAAGATCCTAATATACTGCCTGATCAGATATCTTCCAACTTCTCATTCTCTGGGATCCACTTTGCTCTTATATAATGTGTGTACAGATTGATAGATATCAGTTTTGCTGGAAATAACTTCCAACCACATATTTCCTTGAGATTCAACACAGATGTTGGTATCACTCTTCCCTGCTGATCAACCTATGATTGAACTCTTGCCAACTCATCTATGCTCATCAACTTCTCAACAACTTACACAAGTTGTACATGAACTATAAAGAAATGTATATGTTGTATTGACATCAGGTAATGATATATATTAGCAGTAATAAACAAATTTATTTCACTGTTGCCTTTCGTGACAATTCCAACACTTCAGCCTTTGTAAAAATGATTCACTGTTTAATTATGGAGAAAAACATGCAAATATCTTTTTTGTTTCCTTTCAATTGTAAATATGCAGCACAGTTTGATAAAATGTGTTTTCTTTTCCCATTCCTTGTAGGCAATATCTGTGCTTGGTTTGTTGGTGAATTTGGTTGGTATATTTGTCTTCCATTCTCATGGCCATGGTCAGAAAGATAACAGTTATGGCAGTCATGGTCACTCCCATTCAGGACCAGGCAGTAGTCACCACCATTCTTCTCATGGTCACCATCATCATCATTTGCAACATCAACATTCACATTTGAACACCAATATGCAAGGTAAGACAAAAGTCAGTCTTTAGAACTAGTTTATTTGTATCTAAATTTGAATGTTAAGCAAAATTCTATTCACCAGTAAATAATTCTGATTTCTATGTAGCCAAAAGAATGAGATTTTGTAATAATAGAAAATTGTTACACACACACACACACACATATATATATATATATATATATATATATATATATATATATATATATATATATATATATATATATAATAAAAGAAAGACAAAACTGTTAGGAAAATGTCTGAGGATAAGTTGGTATTGTAAATCACATTAATTACCCTAGATTTATATATATATATATATATATATATATATAATTACATTATTTATGTAGATTATTATATAGCTATTAATTCTAATTTTATAAACCATTCAAATTTTCCTCCCTTTAATATATCTTGTTGAGAAGTACCAATTATAAAGTTTTTTAAATCAAAGAAAGTAAAATTATATTTAAAAATGAATGCAAAATATTAAAAAGTGTATTAGCAACCTGCTTTCATTACTTAATAGTAAAATATTAAATTAAACTTTTAAAGTAACACAAGGCATGTTTGCTTCAGTTAAATACCTTGTGATGTCATAACAATGAAATATTACTAAGCAATGACTTATATAAGCGATATTATATTTTACATATATTAAGATTCATAATCAATAATGCTAGGCTAAGTTAGTAAAGTAACTCAAAAACCAGAAAGGGTTTTACTAAAATGAAAATAAATCAAAGTTTTCTCATTATATCTAAACCTGTTTCAATATTTAAAGTAATGTTTATTACATTTGAATAAATAGTTAAATCACAGTTGTCAACAATGAATATTATTAATACTTAGTTTTTCTTTAATGTTACTTTGGATAAGAATAGTCTGTCATTAAAGTTTACAAAGTTGTGACTTGAACAAAGTATCTTATAACAGTATTTGAACTTATACTAGAATCATATCTAACATTGACATCACCTTAATCAGTTTGGCTATGAAAGCTTAAAAATTTGATGAATTTCCACTTATGCTTATATGCATTTCTTCATTAATTTATTCATGCCATATTGATTTACTATCAAGTTACAGCAATAGCCTTAAAAAGCTGCAACAAAAAAGGTGTGAGAAAAGCTTTGACTATTTTTAATCATTTGAATAGGACATACACTTAAATTTGGTCTTTTTTATATCCTAAATGATGTAAATTTCACTTTAAATATAAACTCGAAATTGATGTCAGCAATACATATACTAAATGTCTACTGGAAAGTGCTTGACTCAACCAAGAAATCATTCAAGAAAAAAGAATTCTGATGTTTAGTCAGGGTTAGGAAGTTTGTCCAGCTAAGAACCTTTAAACATCCCCTCAAAGGTCAAATTCTTTTTGTTTTGTTCTTTTTTAATTCCTCAATATGTGAAGTGAATTAAAAAAAAAAAAAAAAAAATTCTACCAGTTAATGACTGATGCTGGAGTTGATATTTTGTTAATAAATACTTGATATTTTTTGAAAAATATCACAATATAAATTTTAATCATTTAATCTACTTTATTGGTTAATTTTGAGCTGTGTTTCACTTTTCAGTCAACTCTCATTTTTTGACAAATACTTTTTTTTTCTTTTTTTAAATATTTTTTTAATGTTTTAAGGATCTTTTAATAAACAGCAGGATTTCTTTTCATTTGATACAGAAACAAACACTACAGTATTTTTAAACTATTGGTTTGTTAATTTTGTCTTTGCACAGAATAAAAATGTAAAAAAGTTATAAGTTGTTACTGATCAACTGCATCTGATTACATCTTCATGGAATAAATTATAGAAAAAATTATAGGCAAACTACCTCTTAACACATTCTTCAGATATGTTAAAAAAATATCTTTGACTATGATAAAAAGACAAAAAAAATATTCCAGTTTTTTTGGACTGTTATGGTGACTGCAGGTTATCATAAAAGAAAAACAATGCTGATGTGTTTAGTAAAATCTGTTGAATTAATTTTATTATGTTGTTATTTGATTTCCTCGCATTGTACTCCTCCCTCACCTTCAATAATATCACTGTTTATTCCGTTTCAGGTGTCTTCCTTCATGTACTGGCAGACACAATGGGCAGTGTGGGAGTTATTGTCAGTTCTATATTGATAGAAAATTTTGGATGGAACATTGCTGACCCCATTTGTTCTATATTTATTGCTGCTCTCATCTTGCTCAGTGTCCTGCCTCTTCTCAAGGAAACCTCTTGTATTTTGTTACAACGATCCCCTATGCATGGAGATAAACTGATCAAAGATTGTCTTGAACGAGTGAGTGATTTTATTCCAGTTTCAGTTCTGTGGAATTGCATTTTAGATAACATTTGTTTGCTTAATTCTAACAACAGCATGAAAACACAAACATGTGCTTTTTCCCTAATTTACTTTGTCTTAAATAAATTTGAATGTTTATTTTTTAAAATTTGTAGCCTCTAATTGTATTTCAAGTCTCTCTAGTGCTACAAGCTTTCCTACCTGTATCAATAACACATCCTGTTTTTCTATACTGAATTCCTATATAAAATTACAGTTTTGTATTCCTTTGCACATCATTTTAAATCCTTCATGTCAATTCGGTGATTAACATTTTTCATTAAATTTATAAATTGGTTTTCTCTATAATCTCATTATGGATATGACAAATTGTAGTTGAGACAGAATTTTCCTGAAATTTTCCTCATTTCATACTTTCATACTTCACCTTGTTACACAATCTCTAATTACAGTCAACTTTCCAATTTACCATCAAGTTATGAATTTCATCACCATATTTGAAGGCATTTTAGAATTTAGTTTGTCATACATTTTTTTTTTTTTTTTTTTTAATAACGAGTTAATCTCATTACTAATGACTTCCAAAGACATTTGATTAATATTTATAAGTTTGTTTGTTTTGTTTTTTTCTTTCACACTGTTGTTTCAGTATCTTCATTTAACTATTTTTCCCCCCTATGCATTTATCCACTATTTATTTTTTTATTTTTTTAAATTTTTGTTTATCCTAAGTCAAATTGTCAACTTCTTTTCAAATTTGTAATCTGGTTGTAGTAAGCTGAATGTGTAGAATTCAGTTGCAAATCTTATTTGATTCAAGGATTCACAAATAACCTAGAGCATTGTCAGTTCTTATCAACCATATCAGTTGCATAAAAAATGAGTGATGGAATGTGAATACATGTATACACTTGTTTCCTATATCATTTACATATTTTAAAATTTCAACATTATTGTTCTCTCTTTGCTTGTACATATTTATTATCAGAATGTTGCAAAATCAACAACACTTATCTGTTTTGCCAAATTCACCTTTGAAATCCAGTGCTTAAACTTCAAATATGAACAAGAATTTTGTTACTTGTTTGATCTCATTTGTCACAAACTTTTTGTTCTCAGGTGCTCAAAATTGAAGGAGTGATCTCCTACAGAGAACCTCATTTTTGGAGTCATACCTCCACAAAATTAATGGGGAGTTTACATGTCCAGGTGGTTCCTGAAGCCAGTGAACAGAAAATCATTGCCCAAGTGAGAGAATATTTCTCAATTGTTTTTGTTTTGATTTTTCCAATTCATGAAGATCCCAAAGAATAATAATCATATAGCCTTTGATTCAATTGAATGAAGCAAATATGCAAATAGCTGGGGGTGGGGGAGCTATTTTGTGAAGAGTAGAAATTATTTTATATTTTTAGATGCTAAATTTAAAAAAAAAAAAAAAAAGCAAAATAATCTTTAGCCATAAACATTTAATTTAAGCTGCTAAAATTGTTTTTTTACTACATTTCTTCATTAAAGTTTGCTATTTGTCTATATTAAGATATAAGATGCATGTTAAAGAATTGATTAATTTCTCATTCTAACATATTTGCTGAAAGTTTTGCTATTTATTTCAGGTGCTCAGTATTTTTAAAGATTTGGGCACACACAGTTTGACAATTCAGGTCGAGAAAGAAGCTTATTTCCATCATCTTTCTGGATTGAGTGCTGCATTTCATCCAATGGTACAGCAATCAAAAACCTTTGGACGATCAAACAGACAAGAATATGGTACTTCCTCTTCTATTGCTTCAATATAAGGCAGTTATTTATTCAGAAATCTATATTCACTAATAAACTTTTTCTGTAACTTGTCTCATTTCACTTCATTTCTAATATCAGCTGTCATATGCTAATTTTGGTTTAAGTTTTGAGTTTTAATTCAATTTAATATCAATCACTCATGCTTGTCACTATTTTAAGCCATTTATATTGCTCAAATCCAACTATAAACTTTTTCAAAAGAGATTTAATGTATAACAGGAATTTTCTTCTGGGTGAATTTATTACCCTTTTGATCCTAATGAAATATAAACGTTCCAAGAAAATATCTGTTAATTATGTTATTTGTTAATTTTTTGAAATAATCCCAGTTTCATTTTTGTCCGACTCCTGAAAAAATTAATTTGTTTAAAATAGACTTTGAATCCCAAGTGTAATGTTTATTGAAGGTCTCATAAACTCATTAATATAAAAAAAAATAATTATACAAAAGACTGATTAAAAGGCTTAAACATACATAGCATCAATTTAAAAGTTCTTAAGAATAAGATGAAAGTAATTTTATATATTTTTGACAGCTAATGTCATTAATCTGAGATTTCATTCCAGATAAAATTTTCTAAATGAATATAAATTCAATTGGTTTTCATTGAACTTAAGTTTTGAGGACTCAATTTTCAAGAACAAAAAGATGTGGAAATTAAAGTTGCCAAAAGTTTTGCAGAGATTTGAACTGAATACAAAAAAAAAGGTGATAACGAAAATTCTTCAAGAACTTTCTTGCATTATTTTTTGTGATTTTACAAATTTTGATTATGAAAAAAAAAAAAAAAAGTAGGATTTCATAAAGTCTTTTAGTCCAAAGCAAGACAAAGAAAATAAATTTCAAATTTGTCAATAGTCTCTACTAAAAATTACCATAAAAATAATATTTTACACTTTTAAAATATAATTAAGCCTGTAAAATTTCCCCCCAAACAAAATTTACTGGTGAAAGATTAAAGTTATTGTAAGATCTTCAACTTTTTTGGTCCATAATTACTTTCTTTCATGTGACAGGAAATATTGAGCTTCAGAGGCTGGAACAGTGGTACAGAAAATTACAAAACAGAGAGAAAATTAAAGGGAAAAAACAATTTTATTACTGGATTCTGTCTGGCAACACATTACACAAATGACAATTTCCAAAGTTACAAAACTTTGCCATATTTACTACATTGTTTAACAACTTTTATATTATTTCTTTAGAGATTTCAGCAACTTTTGATGTAAAAAGATTTCATTAACAGGAAAAAGAATTTAAGACACAAGTTCTATTATACAAGTATAGTATTGTTTCTTAGTATCAAAATTCTACAGACATAAATGATTCTTATTTTGATTGTTCATGTTGATTATAAATACATTTTGAGTTTTGAAAGCCTGCAATCTCAGGAGAAGAAATGAAAAACCAAATCAACTATATAACTATCAGTGAGATATTCAGGAATGCAATTTTACAATGCAATATATACCCAAGTGCTGACTGTGGTAGTGACCACTGTCCAGTGATATGTAAACTGAATGAAACTAAAGAAATTGAAGAGAGCCAAGGCAGCACCCAATCTGCAATCCAATGACACAACATGACACAAATGTGAAGCAGATATATATGGACACTGTTAAAGCAAGTACAGTAGACAAAATGAGAATGTAAACTCAAAGTTGGACATATTAAGAGAACCTTTAGTAAAATCAGCAGTTGAGGTCATCTCAAAGAAGTATAGACCAAAAAAGAATAGATGCCAGATGAAATTTTTGACATGATGAAAAGGAAACAAAAAAACAATGCCAAAGTACGGCAAAGAATATAGGATTCTGCACAAAGAAATTAGGAACAAATTCAGGCAGGCTAAAAATGAATGTCTTTACAAAAATTGTGCATAAATAGAAAGAATGCATATCACAGATAAAGCAGATATGCATAAAAAAATAAGAGAACTAACAAGACAAAAACATGCTCATCAACCAGGTGCATAAAATCCAAGGACAGGACATTGATATTAAAGAAAGAAAAAATACTTCAGAGATGGAATGAATGCATTGAAGAAATCATCCACAGTGAAAGAGAACAACTGGCAATACACAGAATATCAAAGGACTAGAAATATTAAAATCTGAAGTGGAATCAGCACTGGTCAAATTGAACAGAAATAAAGCAGAAGGAGGACCAGATGGAATCGTAATAGATGCTGACAGCCTTAGATGATTCTGGCATTGACAAATTACAGAAATTAAATGTATAACAGTGGTGATATACTGGAAGACCTAAGTAGATCCATTTTCATAGAACTGCTGAAGAAGCAAGGTGCAAACAAATGTGAACTCCATTGGACAATCGGCCTAATGAGCCATATAGTAAAACTTATCCAAATTCCGATGAATAGAACATGCAGTAAAATCAAGCCAGAAATAGGACAAGAACAATGCCGGTTCATTAAAGACAGTGGAACAAGGAATGAGATATTTATGCTCAGAATGAAATCAGAAAGAGCAATACCAATGCAGAAATATGTGTACACGTGTTTTATAGATTATGCAAAAGCATTTGATAAAATACGTCACAAAGAACTATTAGAACTGCTAGGTCACTTTGATATATTTTGGAAGGATATTAAAATAATCTCGAACCTATACTGGCAGCAAACTACTTGCATGAGGACAAAAAATGAATTCAGTAAATATACAAAAATAGAAAAGGGTGTAAGACAAGGATGTGTCTTCTCACCAGAATTATTTGACTTATACAATGAGGTTATTCTGAGAGAATTAGTTCTACCAACATTCACTATTAGCAGTCAAAATCTTAGCAACATAAGACATGCAGATGACACAGTGTGATATAGCAGACACAGAAAGGAAACTACAAGAACTCCTGCAGAAGGTAGTGAAGGAAAGTGAGAAGAAAAGACTAAACATTAATTGCAAGAAGACTGAATGCATGATTGTTAGCAAAAGGAAACGACTCGGCATGCAAATTCCAAATTGGAGATACCAAGATCAAACATGTACAACAATTTAAATATCTGGGAAATGTTTTAATAGAGGACAGAAAGTGTGACACTGAAGGCACACTGGGATAGCAAAAGATGTCTTCCAACAGATCAGCAATGTATTAAGAAACAGCAAAAAAGGAAAGAGTACTGAACTGTTATGTAATATCAGTCCTCCTATATGGCAATCTCCTCATACATGAAGTAACAGAAATGTATTTCTACGGAAGGATGCTGAGAATATCAGGGACCAAACATGTGAGTAATGACAAAAGACATTTACACTTAACATCAGGAAGAGATAGTTGAAGTTTCTAGAGCACATGGTGAGGAAAGAAGGCTAGGAAATTTGATACTCACAGTGCAGATCGAAGGCAAGAGGGACAAAGGAAAACAATGCATTAGCTAACTAGAAAGCTTGAGTATATGGATGGTGGAGCAAGATTTAGGAGAGATAAGAGATTTATTAAGAACTACAAAGGACAGGAAATTGCGGAGAGCCATGATTGTCATTGTCCTGAAGGGACATAGCACATACATGAAGTTTGCTTAAAAAAAAATATATATAAGGATAAAAATTAATGACAAGAAAAAATATGAACAAATAGATGCAAATCCAGATTGAATCAGTGAATTTCAAATTTAAATTTGATGAAATCAAATGTTTATCATTTAAATCAAACAGAAAGGTTTCTACAATCCATACAAGACAATTTGTATACATGAAGTAACAGAGAGAAAAGATGCTCTGTTAACCATGATTGCTGGCAAATTGACAGTAAACAAAAATATGGTATAAATAAAAGAGAACATTTTTTGGCTACACAAAGAGGATTTTAGATATTAATCTTCATAAAATAAGCTTTCCAGTGATACCAAACATAATAATGGAATTTATTTTAGGTTCAAACATTTAACACTCACATATATTTAGTACAGTAATGCCTTGAGATATGAGTTTAAATCATTCCACAACTGAGCTCGTAATTCAAATCAATTTTCTCCATTCAATTTAATAATAGAAATATTTCTGATCAATTTCAGCTCCCTAGAAATCAACATTATTTTCCTAAAACTCACCCCTATTTTTGTATTTGTGGGTTCTTACAAGCAAAAATGTGTGAATAGACAAGAAATGTAGTTTACAAACAATAAAATAAGAGAAAAAAACAAATTGTAAAGAAATAAAAAAACTAAGTGTAAACCATGAAGTTCAGATGAGAGAGTGGTACAACAATATCTAGCTTAGCAATGGCTAGCCTAGTCTACAATACCAACGGTTAACTTTATCATTTAATTTTTATATTTGTTAAAACATTTATATTTTATCCATTAATGTAACTAATTTTTTACTTTTTAAATTTTATAATTTTTTATTTATCGTCAATGTAGAATGCTCATCATACTATCTTGCCAAATCCATTACTCTTACATCTTCCTCATGTTTTTTTAATAATTTCCTGCTTTGCCTCAAGCAAAATCATAGGTTTTGGCTTTTTATCACTGTTTTTTAGTCTTTACATTTACTTTCTTCACACCATGGTGTCACTAAAGGAATTTTTCAAAATAACGGCAAAATGACACAACACAACAGAGATCCTTCCAGGGCAGGATGAACACGTGTTTGTCAAATGGAAATACTCTCAAAGCTTGATGCTCACTGCACCAACTAGCAGATACTTAACCAAAACTAGCTCGTATCTCAAAACAAATGATCGGACGAACTCTGGCACGTATCTTAAAAAAAAAAAAAAATCATATGTCAATATGCTCGTATCTCCAGACGTTACTGTATATGGACCCATTAGAAAATTTTCATCACAAAATGAAATATTATGAAGTAAGGTAGTTTGCATATGGAATAAAAAAATTAAAGAAATTGAATCAATATGGTTCATAACATGTTTGAGAGAACAAATAATTAATTAATATGTGACTTTAAAAAATGACTGAGAAAATCTGGTTTATATGAATAAG